TGATTGACAGCCCTGAGCACCAACCAGCGGCCAGAACCGCTCTGAGCCGCGCTGATTGACAGTCCCCAAGCACCAACCGGCGGCCAGAGCCCGCCCAGCAGCGCGGAGCGCAGGCCCGCCCCCGCTGATTGTTTGAAAGCGGGCGCGCATGGTCGCGGGAACGCGCCTGGAGAGCTGATTGGTCAGGCAGACCATCAATGGCAGTGTGAGTTTTGTGGAAGGGCGGGGACTCCTCGGGCGAGCAGCGGCGCCATCTTGCAGCGGGACGTGGCGGTCACCTGGCGACGCGCGGGTCGCGGGGTGACGTCACGAGCCTACGAGCTGCGCCTCACGTCAGTGTCACGAAAGCGGCGAGGGGATGCGCGGGAAGCTCTCCTGGCCGAGCACCTTCCCCAGGCAGCCTTCGTTTGGGTGCTCGGGAAGCCGCTCTGCTGTGAGCGCTCATTGTCTTAAAGAAATTCAAGCCTCCTCAGAAGGAACAAGCCTGCGCAGGTTCGCGGGCAGGAAGCAATGCTGACAATGACTTGGGTCCGTTTTTAACAGCCCCACCTAGTGCCTCGCCCTCAGCCCGGACAGCGGGAAAGGACCCCGGGGCAGAGACCTTTGGGTCATTTGTTAGAGGATTTTTATTGATGGGAGCAAACAGTTCATGTGTTTCAGTGAAAATTATACATGTTTGAAAAAGAACGAACATGCTATGTCTAGTAAATCTGACATTATAGGTGAAATCAGCCATTTTCCCCAGAGGATTCTAGTAACCTTTCGAACAGAGATGAACCAATTCTCATCACTTTCACAGGCATTAAATGACTCAAACAAGAACTTAAAAGGGTTTAAATGTGTCTGACAATTCACTGAGTTTCTCAAGAACAATATTTTGGAAGCTTTCTAAAATTCAGACAACTTTTTCTTTTTAGCATGGTTATTTCTAAGACTTTCACAGAGGAGCTGGCTGTGTACTTTACATGAGACAGCTGGGCCACAGACCAGCATTAATAACTTAAATGAAGGCATGTAAATGCGAGAAACCAAAAACTGAGAATGAATGTAGTTTATTCTAGGAAAATGCATGGGTGTGTTGTGTTTGATTTTTATTTCCAATTAGTTGGATTATCTGTTTTCTCTCACATCAAAAGATTTTGATATACTTATTTATTGCACTGACGCCCAATTATCTCCCTTTCCTTCCTTTTTACATCACAGATCTGCTTCAGACACTTAAAAATATGCAGGAGCATCAGAACAAAGATTTAGGTCTTTTAAACTTTTACAGTGATATTCAAAGACAGACAAAGACTGCATTATACTGTGATCCAAACATCACACACTGGCTCTGGCTGTTCTTATTCACAGGTAAAGGGAAAACTGGTGAAGTGAAAAAAGTCCCTGAGTCAGCATCTTGACTGGCAAAGTCAAAAAACTTTGATCTCATACTATCACAGCTCCAAATGCTATCATTATTTAAGTCCTGAGTACCTTTGATTTGTACTAAAAATAGAGGTGGAATTCTGCACATTTTCCTTCTATGACCTGCCATAAAACTCAGCTTTGATGCAAAAATCAAAGCAGCGGGTCTTTCTCTCCACTTGACATGCCACAGATGTAGCTGGGTTTGCTTCATTACTTACTCCAGAGTCATATCAAGCACATTCTGAAGTTTGATAAGATGTGAGAATATAAAGGATATTATGTTGGGGGCTGATATCCCAGTTAGTTTCTTACCAGCTGTCCTTGCTGTGGCACAGAGCTCCAGCATGAACTGTTGCTGGAGGCCTTCACAGCTGAGCAGCTTGCATAGGATAGAATGAGCATAAGTTTGAGCTGCTAGCCCTGAAGGTTCAGGGTATCAAAAATGCCAGAGTATTAGCATGGAAATCAACTACTAATGTTGTAAAGCGTCTCACTGCTTCAGTATATGTAATTGAGTAGTTTAATCTTATTATCAGAGAATGAAATGCCTATTAGCTGAGAATAAAAATAAGGATGTTTTCTAGGCTCTATCTGTGGCTCTATATTTTCCCCTCCACGGAAGCTTGTCTTCCATAATTTTATAAAACCTCTCCTCTTGTTTTCTGGAGGAAAGAGCTCATACTACAGTGTCCCATTTGCCATGAACACTAGCAAGCCAACAGAATGTATTTTTTTATGGTCAAGATGTCCAGCAACTGCTGAACTCCACAACAATTGTCTGCCTTAGGAACTGAGCCGGTGGGCCAGGAGACAGAGAGAATTATGCCTGTTCATGCCAGAGGACATTGTTTGTCTTAAAGGCACAATTCGGCCATCACCTGGACTACCAGTTCATTCCCCAAATCTCCCCTGCCTTTCTTCAGTGCTTTATTAAATCACTGTTTCTTCAACAGGAAGCCAAATAAATCACTGTTCACTCTGAATATAGGATTGTTCATATTTAGAGTATTTATTGTGGCAAAACAATGAATAGATTTCTTTTAAAAGATTTTTCCATGTTTAGGAACAAATGGACTCTACGTGAAGAGGGGAAAACTATCTTGTTTTGGAAAGAACACTGAATAAGGACACATGCAAAGTTCTAACATCTTTTAAATCGTTTTCTCCCAAAATGTATCATTAGTTTTGTTCAGCTTTTCTAGTTTGTAAACAACTATGTAATCAATGAAAATATATTTAGCCTACCTTTAAAAAGATGTTTCCAATATTAATTGATAATAATAGTAAAATCATATGCAAGACAAAAATATTAAGATCTAGCATGCTTGTCCCTTAACAAGTTCTATTCCAAAATTATATTACATATATTAATTTCAACTTTGTAAATGTTCATAATCTCAAATCTTTGAGTAGTCAGACAGTGACAAAAATTATTAAGAAAGTGGACAATGTTTCTGTATTGTGAATGTTATTCATTTCAAATGTGACTTGCTAGTAAAGTGCTGTTACAAGCAAAATGAAATTGTTAGTGTCTATTGAAAGAAGATGACATTTTAGTAATATTCAAATTGTACTTGTTTTTGGCAAATAGTTAAAAGCTTAGGCATGTTTGTTTAACCACCCAAAACTAATTCAGTATAAATAATATTGGTTTCAATAAGTCTATGCTAAAAGGCACATACTAATGTTCCAGCAGTTCTTTCAAGTGAGCTTTTGTATGTAGAATTTTAATTGTGCTTTTAAATAGTTACTGATTCAGTATGACCTTGAAAGTGACATTTGTGCATGTCTAAAATACCTTCTCACAAATGAATCTCACACTCTGAAGGTGTAATTTTGTTAAGATTATATGTATCTATATAACTATGCTTGTTGATCTCTATAGATCTACATAGATATACACATATACATATATTCATACATACACACACAAAAGGGCTTCTTCTGGAACAGCAGCAGAAAGTGCAGTCTATTTTTTTACATGTCTTCATAAGAGAAAGTTCAGGTATGATTTGTCTTGGGATTTGTGAGATCCACGGGATTATTTGTGATATTGCATGTGCCCCGTATTACTCTCTTTCCTTACAGGCTGCTTCAAGCTCACTTCACTTCCAGAAGAGATGATTGGCAAATTATTTTCCATGTGATACTGAATAAGATGACCCACACTATCAAATATATGGTCTTTGGTTCTCACCTAGTGGAAGATGCAAAAGAATATATTTAAGGTTAGACTGTGCTTATAACTTGTTGGACATGAACCTATCACATTAAAAGGCACTTGAGCAGGATCATGAGGCTGTACACAGCAATTCAGACCTATCCTTTGACCCACCATTAGCTCACATGAAAAGCAGTGGAAAAGTAAAGAGGCTATATTTAAACTGGGCTGATTCTGCATTCTGCAGGGGAATGAAATAACCTTGTGTTTTCCTCCACAGAGAGAGATATTTTCCCCTAATCTCATTGAGGATTACTTTTCTGATTTACTTTGTCTTCAGAAATGTCACTCGAGACTGCTCTTCTAACCCAGAGCAGAAGAAAGTAGAATTGAAGTGACAACAAACCTTTTCTGTATCCAGAAATTCATAATTAAGGATAGGGTTATTTTTTCCTAGCACTAATAGTTCAAAGGACGTGTTAAGTGTATACACTAATTATCAGCACCTGGACTAACAGTATTTAAGTTCCTCACTGCTACTTCCATGGTACTTCAGTGCTTATAAGTTTTTGAACTTTCAAACCGACTGCAGCCCCTGCCTATATTTAAATTAACGTGGATAGAATCAAATAAGTTCCACTTCATGGAATGCACCCTTGCATTTTGATTTAAATATCTGAGCAGCACTGAAATTTCATTAAATTAAATATTCATACCTTGCCCTCAGGATCCACCAAGAGTAGATGCTTTGCCTGCCCTCCCTGAAGTCCACTAAGGACATACTGACCAGGTGACGTTGTGCTCTCTCGTACCAGAAAATCCCCGTCATTCACTAAGAGGCTCTCTGCTGCTTTCCTGTTCAATTTGCCATGGTAACAATCTTCATTCTTTAGCTGTTGCTTTATTTGTGGCAGAACACAGAGACCAGCTGTGTTGCTTGTGGCACTCTGCTGAACAGGTTCCGGTAACTCTAAAATTAAATGAAAGGGAATGTATTGGACACTTCACCTAAAACTTCATCCTAAAAGGATGCAAGCCAATATTTTTAATAGCTTTTAAAAAATTCAAATGATTCAGTCTTGAAGCTGTGATCAAACCATCCTTACAGACTGTAAGAATATGCATACATGAATGCTCATGACCCTCCAGTGCATTAGGCAAAATTATCACACCACCTCTTCCCCTACCTTAGATGGGAAAGCCTTTGGTTGCTAGGCAACAGGGATTAGAAACAGGAAATTTTCTGATGCTGTGCTAGCTTGGGGTTTTATTTCTTTGTATATGAAAAGCAAATCTTCCCTGTGAAAACAAGATTTTTGCTGGCTTTTTAACTTTTTTTTTCCCCTTAAGATCTTGTTTTTCCTTCTTCCTTAACAAGCTCTGAAGAGATTGTCACAGATGATTTGGAGTGTCATGTTGAGTGGCTCCAGCTATGTGCAGGAATGTAAGACAACATAGCCAATGCAGCCAGAAGGGAAGGATTACAGCATGATGCATTTGCTGTTAAAAAACGAACAATTACCAAATGTACTAAAAAAACTGGGTGGTTTGGGATATAGCCAGTCAGACTGCAAATGATTCACAGGCAGGATTCTTCTAAGGAAAATAAGAGGATACCACTTCTTCAATGGAATTGTGCAACCTAAGGCTCCTCAGGATATAGGCAGTTCATTTTAGAGCATGATACAGTCCCAAGTTGGAAATGTCTCAACTATCACAGATTTCTTTATTGTGTTTTCTTTATTGTCCAGTCCTTTTCCCACTTTCTTGTGTGAAGCCAACTCTGACAGAAAATACTCAGTGGGAAACCATAAAAGGCAAAGCTAATAAAGTATATTCAATAAGGAGGACAATCAGTAGCAACTATATAATCATTTAATGGCTATCCACCACTTTGAGTCTATAAATCAAGTTTTGACATACATTTCATTGATACCACAGATCAAAAGGTTTGATTTAGAAAATATTGGATGAGATTCAATGGTCACTTAAGGAAGAACTGAGAAAAGACAGTCACAATAACCCCACATTAATCTTGTAGGCTACTGCCTGTGAAGCAAAGGCATCTGAGATCATGTCCACCTTAGAGTGGTTAAGACCTTAAGTGGTTAAGCATACAGGAGAACCCTCTTCCTTGAGGCAAGGTGCAGTCCCAAGCTCATATCATCCTAAAGACTTGCTTTTTAATACCTGTGGCACTCTATTTACTGTCATCAATCAACTACAGAAGATGAAATGTTACTCTGCTTGTTTACCATCACTACTGTTGCTCTTTAATCCCCTTTCTCTTGAATCAAACAAGGAAAAAGAACAACCAGGATAGATTTCTTCCCCCCACCTTTTCTGTGTTTCTTATGGGAAACCCAAATATTTCTCCATGCAGAGAGATGAAAAGCCCCCCTCCTTCCAGTGCTTAGGCAGGTACGGCATCACAATGGGAACCTACTGGCCTGGCGCAGAGGGCTCCCAGGGATCTGTGCTGTTGCTGGACCTCGGGCTGCACAGGCTGCAGACTGCAGGGACTGGGTGTTGATGTAACATGGATCATCAAAGAGATCTGCTTTGTAGGCAGGTTTCAATGAGGCAGGATTCTCTTTTATTGTCTTCTGTGATCTCTCATCACAATTACCTGCAATTAGTATATAGTATGCACAGATTTCCTTTTTTTTTTTTAAACTCAGCTTTAAGCAACTGTAAAAGCTGAAACAGGAATTATGTTCTTCTTTATAGCCCACTAAAGTAATTCAGAAAGAACAGAAAAATGTAAATGAATTTATTTTTCCATGTCTAGAAGGCATGAGGTCCAAAATTAATTAGAATGAAGTTTTCAGAAATGTTCTGCACTGGTTCAGTTCTGCTTCAGTCAATGTCAGCAGTGAACCCCCCACAGATTGGAAAGAAATTAATACATATGCCTCTACAGAAACACAAACTATATACGTTATTTGTTGCAAAACCCTTTCCTTCCTCTCTGCACCACAAAAAGAGCTTGTGGGAAGCTGAGCAATTCTCTCTCTTGCTATTCTGGTGGAGAAGGGAGAGATGGAGGAGACTGGTGCTTTGAGGCTCTGCCTGGAGAGCCAAAGCCACATCTGGCAGGTTAGGATCCAAGCCTAGGAAGAGGCTAACAGAATATCCCCTGCAGGGCTTGAAAATAATAGCACTTCAGTTAGCCAAATAGCAGGCATACTTTTGCTCTTCAACAAACGTTTTATTCATAGATCTATTCATTCATTCTTTTATTTGTTCACCCTCTCTTTGTAGAAACCATTTGATCCTCCTTTCCTTGAATTGGAAATAACACAAGAACCTGAAGTATCCCCTGCAGACAGCATAATGGATTGCTTCAGAGCCGTGCAGGTGGGAATTCAGAAAGGATCTCATTGTGCAGTGAAAGAGAGGAGCTGAGGGAGCTGAGGAAATGCGCTCAGGGCATCAGCTGTGGCAAAGAAAGTCCAGAAAGGGATAGAGGCTGATGATCTCCTGGGGTCCCTGACAGCAGGTTTTGCTAAAGGCAAATTGATCCTGGGCACAAAGTTGCCTAAAGCAGGGGAAGGGCACAGTCATACTGAGAAGCCAGGGATGCTGGAACCAAGGGCCCAGTCTCTGTTGGAACAACCCGATGCTGATACTTTGGACCTCATTGAGCATTTGTAGGAGAAGGGATATATTCAGAGACTGATAAGTAATGAAGTATCTTCCTTTTTTAAATGGTATGAAGAAAGGGAATAAAACAACAAAGAGTATGAAAGAGAATAAAAAAAACCACAAAGAGCTACTGTACAGTATCATGAGAAGTAAAATGAGTAAGTCTGCCAGCAGACATGAAGATAGATTAGTGGCCTTTAGAAAAGCTGTAAGGCTTTTTTGTCTGCCCTTCATCTAGGGAACTAAAAATGACCCACTAAGTAGAACACTTTTCACCATTGTATTGAAAGCCAAGGGGCAGCATTTCCAGGCAGCCTACCCTGGATAGTTCAGCGTATGCATGAGAAGGAAAAGAGAGTACGTACCCACAGTTTTGTTTTCTTCTGGACAATTTTCATATATATTGATGAAGGTTGGGCTGCCTGTCTGTAGAAAAATTTTAAAATCAGTCACATAAAGCAGTCCCCTAGAAAAACTCAGGTAACTCCAAAACATCCATGCATTAGTTAATAAACATGCAGGTAATTAAACATGTTCTTCACCAAAAAATTCCCATCTCCTTAAATAATATTTCACACTGGTACTCTTTGTTCTTCTTTTACTCTCCACATCTGGACTCAAAGCTCATATACCTGCCCAGTTAATGTAGCTAATGTTTAGTTTGTTTATGTTTTAGTATGTTTACAGCATAACTCCTAGGTAAGAAAGCTCAGATTTTCTAATAAATGTCCTTCATCATAAAATCAACTACAGATATCATGGTTTGAACGTGAAATGGTTACTAAATTGTCTGAGCAGCACTGAAGGAGAAAGGAAAACCAAAAAGTAACACCCCATGGGAAAAAGGCATTTGCATTTACAGGCAGGGTAACTCCTTGCAACAACACTGGTGAGCATCAGGTGCAAACTCTGGATAGAGTAAAACATTTTTAGAATTAGAGAACTGTTGTGGACGTGGGAACCTGATATGCAGAGCATGGTTCATGTTAACAAAAAATGTATGGAGCAGTAGCACAGGAACACGCAGCAGTTGACACCAAACACAAATAACACTTGGGAGCAGCAAGTTTTTAGACAGAACCACCTGGATTCCAGCAGGCACATCTGAGTGTACTCCCTCTGAGCCAAGTGGTGGTGCCTTCTTTCCTGTGCACGGAAAGGATGGTGCTCCCAAGGCCTCGCACAGCAGGCTCTGAAGTCTGTGCAGCCAGTCTGAACTTGTCTTGTTTTACCCCCTGGCTGGTTTTTATTTCCCACTATCCCAGACAAGAGTCACAGATATCATTTGCTGATTTAACAGAACTTCTTGAAATAATCCAAGAGTAATGAATATTGTATATATATTGCAATCAGTCAATGTTATATGTATAAGTTGTAGAGCATAATGGACAGAATGAAATATTTATTAGATCACAGAATCAGGAGCCAGGAGGTCCCAGATTTTGCAGATGTTCTCTCCAACAAGCCATTTAAATTGGTATCTATTTTCTTCTCAGAGCTAATGAGTGAACAAGGGAATATTACTTGGTCTCCTGAAAGTACTCTAAGGACAAACCAGTTAATATTCAGAAAGTGCTTTGGGATTCAATTATGTACTAAGCATCATTAAATCTAGCCTAAAAAAACCTTTTCCCAGGATAATCAGGACCTGGTTCTGATGTTAATGCCGTGCTTTAACACCACAGAAACATTTTATTATTCATTCCCATAATAGGCAGTGAATTTTTATCCCAGCAGATGCTGTACTTACTGAGCAGTACTGCTTTTTGCACTGGACAGGACACTTAGCCCTTTGGTCTGTCTGCACTTTCATTCGCATGTCTAACACTCCACCGGTGGGAGGTTCCTTCCCTGGAATTTCGTTGTAATATTCATGGTCCTCCCTCTCCTGTGAATTCCCAGCTGATCCATTAGCATTTGCTGCCTCGCTGAAAAAAATATTGGGGGGGGGGGGGGGTGGGAAATTAAGCTTCTGATGTAATCAATTGCTTTCTAGTGTAGGCAAACATCCCGGGTGTCTGCACAAGGCACAATACACAGATCCGCCATATGGAGGCTGTAAAGGGCTTTGGGCCGGAACTTTCAGAGCTGTTTATTTTTCCAGTTACTTCTTCCTGAATTAAAATAGTCATGACAGTTTGGGGTAAAGGGAGGTACAGTTATTTCATTAGCACCAGGCAGCCCAGATATATTTTCAGGTCAAAGAAAAGGTAAGAGGCAACTACTGAAACTATGAGAATTCCAATGCATTGATCATTAAGGTATCCAGAATGTTGACCATAAAAATAATTCGTGTGGCTTCTTGACTGAACTCTATAAATCTAGAGATTGCTGGGGGGTGGCCAGACTTCAAGAGAAAAATTTAAATCTCATAGCATTTAGTCAGACAAGCCTGCAACTGTTTTATAAAATCAAATATTGCTGAAAAAAAAAAAAAAAGAGAAAAAAAAAAAAGTAGCAGTCCTCAGTGGCATTTACTCTGATTTTAATAACCACAATCAATATTCTGGTTCAGCTTGAAAGGAGCACTGAATGGCATGAAGAAGAGCGCACAATGTTTTTTTTGAACTAAACCAGAATGATGATAGTTTAAATGTACAGCTGATACACTGCAAAACAACTAGGTGCTTCCTGTACTGTCTCCGGTCCCAAAATAAAAAAACTCATCTGAAATCTTACTTCTCTGATTAACAAGAGTATAATTGGATAAAAGGCCATGAGCAGGAAAGAGATAAAGTTCAAGTAGTTGATTATGTGATATGCAGTACAAGTATTTGATTATGTGATTCATAGTAGTTTGGAAGGGAGTGACTCATTCACACAGCAATATCCGACTCCTCTGCCCAAGCACCATTCTCCAAGGCTGGCTGTGGGTTATGCTCAAGGAGGAAATCTAATTACCCTCTTCCATTTTTCCCTGCTCCTATGCTACTTGTGACATAACCTAGCAGGGTTTCTTAGGAAAGAAAGGCTTTTCCTCTGGTTATTTACCCCAGGAAAAACAGACCAGTTTTAGCAGTGGAATAGCAAGAACCACATTGAAATAAATATAAACTGGAGTTGCATTTATATAACAAAACCAGCTCTGCTGTGATGCATTAGGCCCTGTTCCAGTGACACTGCCTGCTCAGGACTCCTGTTCTCAGGGTACAGGTAAATAGTGCCACACATTTACCTACTCTTGGGAAGTAGCAGGTAAAATTGTGTTATAGTAAAAAAAAAAGCCTGAGAAAAATAGGCATGGCTAATCTGTGAGGAGAGCCATAAATTAGAGCAAGAATTGTGACCCCATTGCAATGGAAGAAGGGTAATTGAAATGGGGAATTGTGGTCCAGAAACTAATCTAGGCCCTGTATTTCGGGCAATGTGTGGAAGACAGGGCTTCACACTTTAAAATGCCAGGTGGTGGCTGTGCTTATTTCAGTTCACGAGGCTGATATAAGTCATGCCAGGTGAAAACTGAGGCTGCTGCCAGGACATGAGCAGAAAGGTGAAATAAAATGGCTTTTTTTTCCCCACCACACACTTTCCACAGCTGCAGCAAGCTTAAACTTGGCACAGGTCAGGACTGAGCTCAGTCTGTGTGTGTTTCTGCTATTTATAGACCTGAACTTACTTGGGCAGAGCAATTTGAACATTTGTTCAATTTGCGGACTTAAAATAAGGCTGCTTTATCTAAGGAACAATACAGCTTAATTCTCTGTTCTGCACCTGTACAAATGTCACCAAAAAAAATGGAGTTCACTGGAATAAGCTAATTTTGGTCTCTTATACACTGCACTTACAGGCATAGAATTAGACATATTAGAATTATCCTATGTCCAGAAAGTATATTTAAAGCATCTTACAGATCGCTCTTTTGTGACTGAGAATGTGCTGACCTTTCATTAGATGTAATCAGGCTAGAGGGGTTCTTCAGGTACTGCCTGAACCGGAGCTCAAAAGCCTGCCCTATGGTGTTGATCACCTCCTGTGCCATCCCATTAGGACATTCCAGGATGTGGCATGCTGAAAAGAGACACCTTACTTTAATTAAGTAAATGCAGTTTATACCAGAAAGCAGAGACTCATGCTATATTGCTTATAGCAGAAAAGCAAGGCTCCTACCCCTTCATGGAGCCAGCAGCCAGTACAGCTTTAGTCTGACCTGCAGATTCCCACTTCATTGCACAAAGAACATGGCATTTATAGCCACAGCCTGCATACTATTACCCCTATACATACAGCAAAGCCAGAAATTGTACAGAGTATTGAGCTGTTCAGTAGCTTGTTTATTTTCAAACTCAAACAATTCCTTGTTATATACAAATAAAGCAATCATTTAAACACATATAACAATTGGAAGCTTGTTTCAATACCTCTCTGATTAACAGGGTCTTTTGCTACATATGCCACGTAGTCTGTTGTATCCTACAGGAAAGAAGACATCAAATGTCTTGAACACTGCAATTATGAACAACCCTATCACCACAGCACAGCAATTACATATAGACAGACATATTTTTTAGCTTTAAAATGCACACTTCTTTCAGGGAAAAACAACCAGAGGTACTAGCAAAGTGAGCCAAGGAAAATATCAGTGACACACTGATGGCTATCAACACAGTAATAGTCCCATATTCTTTTTCTTCAAAAAAAATGCATTAGACCATTTAGCATCTTTTGGGTCTTCAATAAATCGTGTATTCAATTCCAGCTCTGTAGCAGGAGTAGAAACACAACTGTTGCCTCATCAGCAGGCAATTCTGCTCCTGCCACTGCTCCATGGAGCTCACAGCCTTTCCTGTGTAACACATCAGGGCTGTGTGACTGCTGGTCACAGCTTTTGGCTGGGACAGTCCTTACCAGAATCAGTGGAAGATAAAATAGTGCTAATGTACTACAAAGGATAAGTTTCCAATGTTCCCAGTTTGTAGCAATAGAGAAAAGTTAAACTCTAAAATTATGCAGAATAAAATGGGTTTCTGATCTCAATTGCTCCTGCACAATTTTTGTCTGGCTACAATCAGGTTAAGTTACCCTGCATCTTAAAGCTGCTGCTGAGCTCAGACAACCTCAGTATAATCAGTTTTCTATTTCTGATTCTCTTTCTAGCCAGCACTGAAATAATCCTCTTTTTCTAGTCAAACTGAAAAGGGAACTGGAATAGAAAACATTTCTAATGATACCGCAAAAGCAAAGAGTAGCTTGATAATTCAGTGTTATAGTCAAATTGGTGAGGTAATGAATAACATTCTCTTAATTATTAAAGATGCATTTTGTTATTTTGGATCTTTAAGGTAGGACAGGGAAAATGTAATTCACAGCTTAAAGGCATGGCTCTCTTGAGGGAAGATGCATCAGCTGGCAGGAAATAAGGCCCCATTCGCAATATGCACAAGAACAATCATTTAATAATTCACAATGAATGACACAAGAGGCAGGTCTTAGGGCCAGCAGAACTTGTCCCAGATATTTGGGTTTTTTCTAATCTCTGAAGTTATCATTAAAAAAAAAGCAGGCTAAATATTTCTTATGCATCTAGTGAACTCAATTTCCTTCCTTTTTCTTTCAAGTTTTTCTTAAAGTTCATAAATATTTTAGGATAGATATTTTAAAGTAAATCATATCTAAGGAGTGACTAGAAACTAAAGTAACTGGAGCAGTACCTGCTATTTTTTATGTCTTTTTAATGTTTATGCAGGTGCCTGGATGACTTTACTTTAAAAAAAAGCCAGAATATGCTTAATTATCAGGCAGAATAGTGCTAGTCCTTCACAGCCCAAAGCAACGCTGAAATTCACCTAGACCCTGAATGTGGGGCAAGTGGAAACACAGGTCCTGTGGAAACTATCTCCCATTTTAAATGTAAACAGAATTTTGAAAACATTAGCTGAACAAGACAACAAAATTGACCCTTATGTGAAGGGCTACTAGATTTATAGTTACCACTGATGAGCAAGACCCCTGTCTTACACATCCTCCCAGTAAGAAGTGCCAGCAGCTGCTCCACCAAGCCCGTTTCCTGCAGCACATCTGTGTTCATGCACATCTCTTGCTGGCCCTGCTATTAAGCACTGACCAAGCCCTGTGTAGCCAATGAAATCTGAAGTCACTGTGCAAGACCAGTGCAGGATAACAATATAAAAAAACACTAAAAAATATAAATAAGCCCTAAGGAATTACTTATCCAACCCAGATAGATGACATTTCCTGCTCACAATCATTGCAGTAAGGAGTCTGGAATAGAATAAAAAACCTCTGACTTGAAGTAAGAGGGCTTTTGAATGGACTGAAGCTCACTGATGGGCAACAGGAAAGTTAACTGTACGTATCTATTAAAGATGCTCTGAGTCGCTATTCCACATTTCCTTTTCAATGTCAGCCCCCCTGTTTTCTTGTATTGCTGGTCATGATCCAGAAGTGCAGTGTACTCTGTTAGTGCTTGTGGAAGGAAGGGATGAAGCAAAGTATTTGCAGGTAACAATTATTACATGAGTACATTATACCTGCAGAAGTAGATTTAATAAATCAATACTTACTGGGTCACCTCCAGAAGCAAATGAGATGGACTGCATGTGGTGGTTGGCAATAATCTGAAAAGCATAACAGACTAATTAAACATGTTCTTGGGCCACACATTAGAAGACATCAGAACATATGTCTTCATAGAACAAGCAAGTATTCATAACAATCCCATTTATTAATTTATGCATGTATTATTTAGGAAGGAGATAAAAATAGGAGATAAAAATATTTTTGAGACTATCCATTCATGTTTAGCAATGTCTAGATCCCTAAGTAATCTTCCTTAAAGGGTCTTCAGAATTAATTCAATCACCAACTTCTAATTGTACCCAAAAGGAAGGGAAACCTGGTGTCTTAATCCCCTTGTGGAGCAGATGTCCAATGGACATGAGACCTCTGCACTACAGACAAACCCCTAAGGACTCCTTGATGCTCAGCATGGAACCAGCTCAGTGCAGCATTCCTCAGAGCCAGTGAGCCAAAACAACTTCCCTGATGTTCCCCTGCTCCAGCTTGAAGCTTGAAACTTGCTGCTGGCCCGGGGTGAGATGACTCAGGGAGCCAATACCAACATCTGAAGGAGGAATTAAGTGGGCAGGACTGAGATTCTTATCATATCTGCCGAGAAGGAAGGGAGCACAGCCTCATTCCGAGCAAACACAGGCTCTCAGGAACACACGTCAATGGAGCCTAGAAACTTTACACAGTATAATTGATTCTACACATGTATTATCCAGCTGTAAAACAGCTTTGAATGACACCAAAGTCAAGCTCTGACTTAAAATCTATATACTTTTTTTCCCTCCTAGGACTTGTCATAAACTACAGTTGGGACTAGTGCCTTGTTCATTAGGTACTTTACAGGCAAACACATCCAGAGAAACAGTTTGCCAGGTGCTCAAGGATCCCTCCCCATGGAACACCATCATGGACAAAAAAGACATGTGCTGTATGTCAATTCCTCCAAAGTGCTTTCATTTTTAAATACAGAGGCATCATGTAATTCAGCTCCACCAGACACCCACAGGTCTGCTAAAGGGTTCTTCTTTCCCTTTGGAGGGCACAGCCTTCTGTCAGAAGCCACAAAGGAGGAGAAAACTGTAGCATGGAGAAAAGGACACTGATTACATGTATCCTACCTGCTGTGTGTCAGCATTAATCAAAGTGAGGCTGCTTGTTGAAATAGTCAGCTTTATATTCATGCCAGAAAACTGAAGGTTACTTTTGCCAAGTACAGAAGACAGAAACTTCACTGGAGGCTTTGAACAAAGAAACAAAAGAAAGAGGCTGTCAGCCCAGTCTGTGAGGGGCAGAAACATATCAAAGTCAAGGAGCTTTAATGGTATCTTATTGAGACTTTCAATGGAGCAAGGATAATGGCTTGATCAAACACAAATGGATCTAACAAACATCAGCTCTGAATGCAATACTGGTACGAATGGGTTTTATGTCAATAATGGGAAAAAAAAGTTTTAAAGCAAAATCCCAGTGAGCTAAATGTTATAGCTGGCTCAGTAATTCAGAATGTGCAATTTTCTTTCTGAACTCTTCTTTGTTTCTGGAGGATGAAGTGTTTCTGGGTAAAGCAAATAACTCTCCCATGTATTCCTTTTTCAGGATCAAGTTCATTCCTCTTGAGCGCCACAGTTACAGAAGGAAATCAGTAAGTTCCACTGGACACAACCCAACAGTAACCCTGATGTTGCCCCTCATTGCATCCAAGTTAGTTAATAAAATCCATTAAACACTGCCATTTTAGTTTTGTTTCATTCTTTGTATATGTAAATAAGCAGCAGATAATCTTCCAGTGAATCAGCTCCCTCTTGCAAACCAAAAAAAACAAACAAAAAACCAAACAGACAAACAAACAAACAAACAAAAAAATCCAATAACATAGCAGCCAAAGCCTAAAACTTGTAAAGCACCACACACTGCAAGAGCTGGTAGAAGCAGGAACCCTGTGAAAAGCATTAATCCTAAGAAAAATAAAGTAGGGCATAGACTCAGCCCTAAACCAAGCAGGCTAAACACTCTGCTACCAGCACTTCCATGTTATCCAGGCTGTTTGGATGGATTAATGTGAGCTAATTCCAGCACCGACTGAAGCCTGTTAGGGAATCATGTATCCAGCTTATCAAAAGCAGATATAGAAAAATAATTGTTGAGCTGAAACAGGATTTACCTTCCGCTTTTTTATAGCTCCATTTGTACCCAACACAGCTTCACACAGTCGGCTTATTGCTTCCCTGCAAATAAAAAATACAGCACAAACTGTTGGATCATTTCACATGCACCATCTGTAACAGAGCCAGCAACTCTGCAATTTATTGTTATCAGCCCACTTATGAACTCTTAAATCTTCTGGAAGGTTTTTCACAGTTTCTTTCCTTCCACAGTTAAAAAAAAAACAAACAAACAAAAAAAAAAACCCAAAACAAAACAAAACAAAACAAAAAAACCCAAAATAACTATTTAACAAAATACAGTGATTCAGCAGTCATCTCCTCAGGCTTAGGTCCCATATTGGACACTTTGAGCCTCAGCCTTCCTCTTGCGGCTGAATTCAGACTTATCTTCCAAGGCTGGGATTTTGTTTGGTTCTAAAGGGGAAGGGAGTTTGTTTAATTATTTGTTTGTATTATTGAATTATTATCCAAAGACATAATCAGGAAACTAGTTGGTTGGGAAAGTTTTTCTGTTTCCAGATTCCGGTGTGTGTGTGGGAGGAAAACACCACTAGCCTTCACCTCCTGAGAAATTTTTAGTTCAGAAGAGCTGAAAAGTATCAGGGGACCACACAATGACAAGAGGCTCCAGCAAGGTATGTCCCATGAAGCAGAGATGCCCAGTGAGGAGTGTGTTCCCCCAGGACCCTGCGGATCAGAGAGGAGGTAAAGCCAGCCTTTGTGAACGCCAGCACGGCTGCTCAGTGCCCCACGGGCTGCCACACCAGTGTGTGCTTGAAGGCACTGAAGATCAGTGATACAGACTGGGGCTTCCTGCCAGGAAACAGCCTGAGAAATTGAACCTGGATGCTGTCAAATGAATGGAGACTTCACCCACAACAAAATAAAAATAATATTTTCTGGGTGAAAACAGCAGGGAAGAAAAGGGGTCTCATTGTGGACTACACAAGATGGGTCAGAAACCCAGCCTTTTACACACTGATCCTTCTTAGCATTTAAAGGCAAAGTACTTCCCCCTACACAACCGAAAATATATTTTTTAAGCAAATTCCTGATACCCTTCTTGGTTAGCTCCTATTTTATTTAGCTGCTACCAGGAGGAAGGCCAAACATGAAAAAAACAAAAAAAAAGGGGGGGAAGGCATCCTGCAGGATGATCTTGCAGATTCCAATAATCAGCTTGGAAAATGAGAACTCATCTTCTCATTCAATATTAAAGGAAATTAAAATCAGAGCCAAGACATTAAGGCTACTTGGAGCCTTCAAGTCTAGCCTTACCTAGAAAGAAAACCAGATACAGAACAAATTGGAAAAACAGGGAAGTTGTTTCTTTTGATGACAAATGAGTTTTTGCACATGTCAGGCAGCCCATGTGAAATCAAGAGTTGTTGGCAGAGTTGCCAGCCACAGAGCCTCCTGTACAAGCTAGTGTGGTGGCTGCCCACTTCACCACACTCTCAAGCAACTATCCAGTAAAACAGGAACCAAAAAGTACTAAACCATTTCTACTTAATAGTTTCTATTACCACTCTTGGTAGGGGAAATAGTTGTACAGACATTTTCTGCTGCATACCTCTGGGTGATTTTCCAAGTGATCTAACAAAACTTTGCAAATATTATTTTAAAGGTGTGAAAAGCAGGAGTTTGGTAACACCTGCTGCTACAATTGAATACTTTCTACATGCACTCATTTCCACGAACTAGAAACTGCACCATACACTAGGAATAAAAGAAACTCTGGATGCATCCATGATAAACTGAAATGAGTGACCCATTTTTGGCATCCATAAGCCTTTAAACCAGCTTTTTTTTTTTTGCTTTTTTTTTTCCCCAGACCCACTCAGAAGTACAGTCTACAGTATTTCTCTGGGTCTGCAGCCCTGGAGTGAAACCTGTGGCAGACACAGCTCCTGCTGCTCCCAGAGCGTGCCCCTGCGGGAGAGAGCGCCTGTGGGCAGTAACACTGAGCCACTTTGTTTATTGTTCCCCCAAAATGAGAATAAAAGACGAAAGATGGGCTGATGTAAGCAAGCAAGCATGCTGTTGAGGATTTGCTTTTAAGCATCTAGGGCCCTGCCTACACCATGTAACAGGAAGGGATTATGTGGCTCAACAAAGTTGAAATTAATCTTCCAAACAAAGTCAGCCTTCTTCCAGCAGCCCTCCCTGGCTGCACATTTCAGACACCCTTCACCCCTCACTGCCTGACCATTTTCGAGTTTGCAACTTGATGCCCCAATCCAAAATACAGAATTCCTTTTCCCAGAAATGCCCAAATTTGATGACTAATAATCAGCTTGATTTAATAGAAGTGGGAAATGTGTAAGAGGAAAAGAGCTGAAGGGCTGGACAAGAGAAGCACACATCAGGGTACAGCAAAGGCAGGACCTGCCACAGCACAAGGGTGACAACCCAAACACCTCTTGTATCCAGAGCAGCAAGCACAGGCTAACTATTATAAAAAAAAATAAAAATACAAAAACCCTCAAGCAGAAGAATCTGTTACACTTATTTTTTGGTGTGACTTTGGTCATCTACATGGAGTTTGAGATCACAAATTCCTGCAAAATGGGAGGGATGTCCCTAAGAACAAGTTGGGTCAAGGACGGGCAACAGCAGAGCTGAAAAACTTGCAGTGGAATCTCCTCACCCTACAGCCACCGAGGGTAAATAGCACCTCAGGGCTCGGCCCTTCTCTTGCTGGGCTGTGGCCACACAGCACCTCTGCATCCCACGGTCATTCACAGCACCAGAGAGGCCACTTTCTGCCTTCCCTAAACATGTGCCTGCCAAGCAACTGAAAATGCAAGTCCAGCAAGAAAACAGAAAGTAAATCCTCCATGTTCATCTCTTTGGCCACTCCTCACCGCACTTTGGCAACAAGAAATGTTGATCTTTTCAGTATTCATGAGGTAGGTAAATATTATTTTCAGTTTTAGATACTATGAGGCAACTAAGCATGCACATACACATAAAGCAAAGCAGGGTGCAGACATAACTAGAGACACTTTCTACATCCCTTTAAAACAGAAGATGCCTCTTTGTTTAGTGAAATGCCATAGAAGTAAAAATATTTTTTACCCCAATTCAAATAACAGGCATGGTTAAAATGGGATGATTTCCAGCAGCTCCTTGGTTGGTGCATTGTGCATGTGTCTATGAACTTACTCCCCTGAGAGAGCAATAGGGGAATAATCAATGTTATCTTTGCTCCAGTCAGCTTGTCATCGATAGAACTTTAAAGTCTGCATGTGAGAGCTCAGCACTTCAGCGTTTGGTTTGCAAACAGTTTAAGTTTTGAATTTCTCATGCACAAAAGAGCCCGTTAAGGTCAGCAGTGGCATTTTTTTAGGTGATGGAAATATTTCCATTGTTAAGTTTTGACATAGTTCTGCTTAACAAAACCTTACTATCTGGCTCAAATTTAAGTTGGCAAGCTCTTGTCACACAGTAATTCATATTCATTATTTTCCAGACAAACCATCCAAAGCTCTGTTCTGTCAGAACAGCAGCACACACCTCTTGCAAACAGGAGATAACCTCACCCTCTGGCTGAGCTGTGAAGAACACAGTGGCCCAGGCTGGGTGAATTACATGGCTCTTCTTGGTCTGTGAAGGACTTGCCTGAGAGAATTATATTGGAATTTCAGGCACTTCTTCATACACACATGCAGGACCTGGGTGAGTGTGTGCTTATACTAGTTGTAAATGTCATCAACTGCTGATTTTGAATATAAAACAAACAGGACAGCTTTCAAGTGAAGTCTATAGGCATTGAAGGACTCGTTTTTCAGCTCCTTTCAGTTGGTAAGTCTGGGAAGCAACATAAAGTAGAAAATGTTTATATGGTATAAATGTGACACTAATCCCTTCATTTTACTTTCCTTTCTCCATGACTTTTTGGATAGAAACTTGAGGAAGCAAAGCAGCATCTGAAAATCTCCCTCCAGAAGGAAGAGCTGGGCCGGAGCAGGAAGCCTCAACCACACTCCTGGCATCCTCATCATGAGCTATGCCAGAAAAGCAGATGAGAGGACAAGGGAACATGTCTAAGGCCAGGTCAAGATAACCTGCACCCACCCACCTCTCCAAAAAGCTGTTGGGTGGCTGCTGGGGCTGCCTGGCAGAGCACTAGTCCTGACTGCTGGACCGTGAGCACATCGCAGCACCATGCAGCACTCAGAGCTGGATAGAGGGTGATTGTTTTGAAAACTCAAACACTCCTGCACTGCCAGACTTACAAGAATAAATGTAAAAATAAAATCGTGCTCTTCTATTTCTGACAGAACATTTCAGCCACCCCACAGGTGTGGGGCTACTAACAATCTACACCCAGAAACTGGCAGCAACCTGCAACAGAAGTTGCAAAGTTCTCATAAGACCACAAAAAATATTTCACATTTTAACCACATCCCCAGTTGTATCTGAGAATCAAATATTAATCTTTTTCTGATTCGCAGCCTAAAAACTTAGGCTTGCAGTACAGATGGAAACAGCTGTATTTCAATATATTTTCCTTGTGACTCCACTTCCAGCTGAGCCTGGTCTTGATGCAGATGGGGTCAAACGATGTCATACATCTGATAAAAATTCCTTAGATGGCCTTGCTGGATTGAGGGACTGATGGTATTTTCTGCATCAGGTGGGAAGCAGCATGGCAGAGAGACCCATGAGCATCCTGGCTCTCCACCTTGGCCACGGCACCCACAGGCACAGCAGCAGCAGTGGATTTCCCTGGTGCCTTGGGAGAGCCGTGCAGGCAGCGCTGAGCCACGTGCACAGCCCGGCTGCTGCCGGTCCCCAGCTGGCTGGGGATGTCTGCTCTGTGCTGCCACTGCAGGGGGAGGCTCTCTGAGCAAGAACTGGGAGAGAAATTACGTCTGTGCCTGAAACAATTCATTTTCCAATGCAAATAGCCTATTGTAATGATGAAATAATTCAAATCATCACTTAGGAAAAAACAAAACAAAACATGCAAACTCCTATTCAAAATTGTCTCAGAGCTTGGCACGCACCCTCAGCTTTATATAAAAAATTAGCACTCGGGCTTTTCATTCTTGGTCTGAATCTCAGTTTATACCACCTACCTGGTGACTTGTGTTCGTGTGCCAAAGTCCAGGGATCTCATTGACTGCAGCACTTCAATACAGCCCATGTACTATGGAAAACAGACAGAGAAAAGGAGGACTGTTAATATCTGGTACACATGTAAGAGGAGGATAACAGGAGGAAGTAAATGTGATTATTGTCCACTAAGTTTATGCAGAACCACACTCTAAATGGAAAATCAAATCAGCCATCCTAAAGCAGCTTCCTAAATAGATCTTGTTTTACTAAAAGTGTAGAGAAGAGTAATAAAGATACCAATGGCTTAAACACCATAGGACCAAAAAAAAAAAAAATCACTCTGAGGACATAAAATCCAATTATTCCTTTTTTTCCATTTCTGCTTACTCTCATTTATTAGCTGGTGACACTGAGTTGGGAGGAATACATGAGGAAATACTGGAGAGAACAGTCCTCGGGAGCAGAGAGGCTCTGGAAGCCCCTTGAGACCAATGCACTCAGAGCCCCCATGCAGAAGGGCTGAGTGTCCCTTCAGAGAGGAGGAGGCATTACAGGCCACAACGAAAACCACTGGCTCCACACTGCTACATGTCTGATGACAAATAACATCTGCAGAAGATGAAGGATGTGAAGTTGCAATTCCAGCTCACAGCAACACCTCTTAAGAGCCTACACAATAAACTGACCTGCTTTAAATTAACAGCTGACTGCCACACTTCTGTTGTATGGGACAGAGCTGGAGCTTTTTCTGTACTTATTTGGGATTTGTATATGCCTAATTCTCAGAAATATCAAGGATGTGATGGCATATCCCCAACCATATCTTACTAATTTTTCAGCATTTCCATGGATGTCCATCTCTCTGTTGTTGAAGCAGTCTGATCTCTTAATTTCAACAGGCTGGCACGGGTCTGGATCTCTCATTATTCCTCTTAGAACCATCCTGCAGTGCTCACACAGTGCCCGAGGGCTGCAGTCACAGCCTGCCTGTGCAGACCTCTCCTGCAGGAAGTCAAAGCCTCTGGGACACAGAGACAACTTGGAAAGCCCAGGCAGGGACAGGCATACTCTGTCTCCTTGTCTGAGCTGATGGAGGAAGCATTCTGTGTCAGAGAAAGGTACCATATTTAGTTCCTCTGCCTCACTTTGCCTGTAAATCAATTTTTCTGCTGGGCCATTCAGAGAGGGTTGGGTTTAGGTATCTGTTTCAGCTTTGGAGACTTTCAGAAATGAGTGTGTGAGAAAGAGAATATTATATGTGCAGTCAGGGATTCCACAACAATTGTATTATCCCTATTTTGCTTTCTTTCCAGATAGCAATGTAACCCTTGGGAGAACTCCAGAATTAGGTCAGAGACCTGGAAGGACATCAATAAGAATCTGAAAGGTTGGCAGAACTGCTTCCTTAATGAACATTTAATGATTTTGAGAGCTATCTGCCTTGTTAAAGATATTCCTGCTTAACAGGAACAAAGCAAATGTGGAAAATATGTCTAGAGCCTCAGCTTGTAGCACAGCAACAACCTCTGATCCTACAGTATAAGGTCAAGCATCCTGTGAGCTGGTTGGCTACTCCTCTCTCCTTGAAAAATGAAAAAATTTAGAGTAGTTAAGTCATATGCTGACAAGTGAGTCCCCATTGCATCCTGAACAGATGCGTGGGAAGCTACTCTAAGCAAGGATGAAAAATCAATAGTAGGCTTTTGCATAAGTGACCCTGAGTGAAGCTGAACTTATCAATGATTCACAAAAGACCTTGTTTTTTTCCCTTTAAAAGCCTGAGTAGGGAAGTGCATTAACATGGCACTTCACTGCATCTCTCATTTATTTTAGCTGTTGCTGGTTATCTGAACTGGCAGAGCTAGTAATGGCTGAACCTTCACTTCACAGTACAAGGGTACAGAGAACCAACAGAGCCGTGGGCAGGGGGATGATGTGGGGCTGGGGAAGGGCAAGTCAGGGTGACAGAGCCTGGGAGAAGCCTATGAAGCACACAAAAGGACAATGGAATACCAGAAGCCTATTCAAGAAAACAAAAGATGCTCTCCAAGGAGAGAAAAAAAATTAAAATTAACAATAAACAAAAATATTAATCCTGCATAATCTGAGAAGCAGCACAACCAATGCATGAGAGGAAGGGGACAGCAGGGGAGAAGGACAATGTTTGTCTCAGAGAATTCTGCACCCAAACTCCTGTTCAGGTAGTGCCCCTACTCCCCACCCTGTACACCCCAAACAGCACCTCCCAGGAAAACCTAATGGGCTTCTCTGGTGATGCAAGGTGAAGGCCAGCTCCATCTTTCCTGCTGAAGGGAAGGTTAAACTAAAGCATGAGCAGGGCAGCTACCACAGGTGCCTGGGAGAGGAAGCCACAGCAGCCCACAGCTCTTGCTCCAGTGCAAGCTGGTGCTTTTGTGAAAACCAGCTCCAAAGGTGGTGTCCAAGCAGGGACATTCATCTTCTGAAACCCACAGAGAGAGGCAAGGCCCAGTTCACTGAGCTGCTAGGCAAGCTGGACAAAGCTGGACACAGGCCCAAGGGTGCACTAACCAGCCTGGGGAAACAAGCAGAGATGTAAATGCAGAATTCAGCTACCAAAAGAAAAATAAAACAGCAACAGTGAAAGAAGCCAAGTCCTAAAGACCTGACATTGCTAATGAAAGCGGATGCTGAACCCACTGTTCTGTCAGCAGCAGGATGGAGAGCTCTTGCCAAGACAAGCAGCAGCTCTTAGGAAGGAAAGACTCACTGGCCCCTGCTGGAAAGGGAACTGCTCCACTAATGGCAACATGTGCAGAGACACCCCATCTGCCTGCAAAGCTCTGTGGAGAGCACTGGCACCAGGAATGCTTCGTCCCTTGGTGTTTGGGTACATCTGGGGCTGGCTTGCATTCCCCCATGCCACCAGGATGGCAGGGAGGTGGTGGGAGAAAACAGCAGCTATTGAAGATGCACGGACCTTTTCACATCTATTTACATGGGATGACAAAGTGACTGCTAACAGGATGAGGGACTGTGTGGGAGGAGATGTGAAGGCACCAGGCAGGGCCCATGTGAATAAGCAGCACATGGCAGGACAATGCAGAGTGCCAGGCTCAGAAACCTGTTGTGAGATCTCTCTGCTTTCACTCTAGCTGGAAGGTAAAGTGCTGTCTTCCCTCCATGGACACCACCAGGAGCCAGCTAGGGATGTGGGGAAGGAGCAAAGCATGATTACTGTATTTTTGGTAGGAAGTTTTCTCAGCCCTTCCTGTGGTAGCCTTGGGGTTAGAAAGTCACTGTGCCCACTGGAAAGCAGAGACCACCAGAGCTCCTCTGGCAGTGGCACTGCTCCTGCCAGCACACAGACTCCACTATGCTAGTTAGCTGTTCATCCTGCCTCACACACCAGGGTTTACTGGGCTGGGGTAAGTGCTCCCTAATGCTGTTAGCAGCCACCAGTCAGCTAATGAAGAACTTTGGCCCAGGTTTGCACCCTGCAGGACATTCAGCTGGCTCATTCCTCAGGCTGAACCACACCGGTTTCCTCCAGCAAATACCAACCCCATCCAGATCCAAAAGCAAAGCCAGCAGAACCTCTCCCATCCCCACCACAGGAAGCAGAGAGGCCAAGGCAGCCCACAGCACACCACTGCAGACGTGGGTGGTACCCCCAGGGCACCTGTGAGACAGCACAAAATCCAGGCAGAACCAGCTGGAAAATAGACTAAATATCTTACAGGACGAAAAAAGCCCATTAAAGATCTTTAAGCACAAACCCACCCCCTCCCAGTAGTTTGTCAGTGCTAGCCTAACTCTCCTCATGTGCTTGCTCTCATCTTCCCCCCTGCAGCAGCAGCAGTGCAGACAGACAAGGCCCTTGGTCTGTCCCACTCCTCATGCCCACACAGCACAGTGTCTTCCCTAAGGGCAGCAAGCCAGGGTTCTTTGTGAAGAATAGTTTTGATAAATGAAAAATTTTTTGGGAAGGTTTGACCCTTTCATTCATAGGTTTTCAATTTTTATATATATGTATATCCTGAGAAGAAAAAACAAAACAGGGAAAAATCATAAATACAGACAGGTAGAAATATTTTCCATTTCTTTATAGTTTTATTTTCTGGAAAACCACTTATTGCAGCGCTGCACTCAGGCCAGGTCTCTTAACAGAATTGTTCTCGGGCTGTGATAAAGCAGCTGGCCCGAAAACACGCCGATTCCTGCGAGGAGCGATCCCCAGAGAGGTGCCGCTGATGCCGGGGTGCATCCCCAGGGCTGCTCGGAGCCCAGAGCCCGAGCCCAGCGCCGCCCCGGCACCCCCGGCTCATGATTCACAGCTGCGGCTCTGAAGCCATGAATCACCGGAGCCCATCTCCTTCCTGCGAGAGCCCCGGCTGTGCATTCGCGTGTAGTTATTTATTTACGACGGGCGATGCAGAGCAGCTCTCCGGGCGCGGTGTCGGGGTGCTGCGCGCCAGGGAAGTGGCTGAAGCTGAAACACCACAATATTTCCCTGCCCTGAGCGTGGGAGAGGCGCTGGTGGCAACCTGTGACCGAGAAAGGGCTGCCCTGGACCCCCCTCCCCACACAGAGAGAGGGAGTAACTGCTCCAGGCTGACCTGTCGCATCCTCCATGGACAACGGCAGGACTGTGCAGGGCACCGGTGCCCACGTGTGCTTTGAGGGTGCAGTTCACGTAATTCTGAACTACCGTGTTAGAAATGGTCAGGTTCCTTTTCATCTAGAGACATGTAACTGATTTTAGAAATATATGATATCATATAGCTATGTGCATTCACCATCAAATCACTAGCAGAGGATCAACCTGTACGTTGGTAAAAGCCCTTTAAGACAAAGGATGCTGCAAATAACCTTTAGCACATTATTTTAAAGTATGATGGTAATGTAATGAAAAGTCTAGGAATAGTATTTCCTTTTCATATTTCAGTTAAGCAGCACATTTTTAAAACTAATCATCTTTGAAAGACTCATGTTTTGATTTAAGCTCAGGTAAAGAGCCTTACTCCATGTTAGGTCCAGTAAACATCATCCTTGCTATTCTCAGAGAAACCACTGATGCAGGACAGTGCTGAGAGACAGATCTTATCCTCCTTCTCAGCAGCAGCCACATCCTTGGCACTCCCCAACAAGCAAGAGTGAGGATGGCAAGTGCCTCTTGGAATATTCCTCAGGCTCATCATATCCATAACAAACACCAGCAGGAAAGAGAAGTGCCATGGCCACTATGGGTATCATTTAGAGACAACCTCAGCTCCAGATGGGCAGCACTAAGGGGTAGAATGTGAGCAAGGACATGGTAAATATCCCCCTTGTAAAGCCTGCAGCAATCTGTGTACAAAGTATGTTTGGAAACAGCAGCATGAGAGTCAGAGCTGTCCAGGCTCCTCTTAAAGTATTAATATTTGGGCTCTTTGTTATTTGCACGAGCATTTTGAGGGACCAGGTGCTGTTATAGGTCTCAGCTTCCTCACCAGGCCCAGGTGACACGTGGCTGTGACACAGGTGCCCTGTCACCACCAGTCACGCCCGGCCACAGCCACCTCCCCAGGGGACACAATGAGCCCAGCATTGCTTCTTTTTAAAACACCACCAAGAAAATTTCTGCCTCACTCCAGTCTGCAGGGGACAGCTACTGTCCTACAGTATTTCTTTAATTCACCACATTATTGTCTTTCTAAAATAACTGTAGATCCTCTCCATGTAATTGCTGAATCCTCCTCAGACTCTGATTAGGCTGTAAAGGCCAAAGATCTCTTTGCAGCAGCAGTCCAAATAATGCAGACCTGACCTACCTCCTAAAAGGGTCTCTGTGGAGATCCCAGCAATCCCATACCCCAACAGGGCACAAGAAGCTGCATGGGGAGAGTGAGTGCCTCCAAACACACAGAAGGGAGGGCAAGGACCAGGGTGAGGGGGTAAGGATTGGAAGCAGCTCCAAATGCCCAGCCTTTGGTCTCTCAGCCCCACTTTGCCTTCAGGTGAGACCATCCCTCTGCACCACAGTCCTGCCATGCTGCACCCCTGGCCACTTTCCAGCCCATCTGAGGCTTCATCAACAGCTCCTGAAGAAGTCTGGTGGTCTCTGGGGAAATGAGTACATTGTTCATCCTGTCACCTTGCACATCCTCTGATGCTGAAACGCCCAAACCCCCACACTACTTATTTACCAATCTGCTTGTTATTAATGAAAGGGCTAGCTGAAAAAAGATACTAAGAGTTTGGCCAGGACATGTCAGCAATGTTCTTGCAGCTCTGCTTGGGCTGGTTCCTGCAGGCCTACAGTCACGGCAGCAACATAACCAGGAAGATGAAGGGAAAAAACATCTCCCTGTTGCATTGTGAGGCTCATGCCAGGGAACCTCCTTCTGAGATATTGCCCACAAAAGGAAAACCAGCAGAAAACCATACTAGAAATACAACCTGGGCAGTGCCTGCCCCACAGCCTTCCTGATAAATATTTCAGCAGCATGGGCCAGAATGCACCTAATGCCTGGAACTGCTCTGTGAGGGATGGGAGGCCATTACATGGAACTCCTTTTCCCTCCAACATGCAGAATAACCCATTTTAGTTACAGTTCAGCAGCACTCCTCAGAGAATCTACACAGTCCTTTGGAACTGAATGTTGTGTTACCTCTGGGAGCAGCTGGGGTGCTTTTAGCTCCCTCAGTTCAATGCCACAGCCCTACGTACAGCGGAACACAGGAAATACATGGGAGAGTTCAGTGGTTTGGGGCACGGACTCTAGAGGTGGGAAAATGGAGGTCACCCAGCAGCCAGCTGAGCTGTTTGCTTTGTCAGAGAATGGAAGCCCAGGGAGAAGTACTCACCCGCACACTGTAGGTGGTTCCTGGCTCCTGGCTGTACGTGCTTTCACTGCCTGGTGCCAGGCCCCTGTCCTGCCTGGCCACAGGAGCGGCCTCCTCAGCTCCCGGCACAGCGCAGTCACCTGCTGGTTTTGGGGTTAGGCCCAGCTTGTCCAGGTCAGGCTGGGGATATGAGGCCGACAGGCAGCTGATCTCAGGTGAGGTCGGGCTGCTCGGGATGGTCACGCACTCCGTGAGTTTCATTCGTGGCACCTCTTTCGTTCCCAGGCAGAAGCTTTTCAGCCCCGGCAGATTTGATGGGTTGGCGAGTTTGATGTTGGCCATCCGAGGGATCAGGGTGCACAGCGTGGTGCAGGTGTCCTGTGGCCCCAAGGAGACATCTTCTGTCAGTAAATTGGGTGTTGAAGAATGGGAAGAGGAGGAAGAACCTTTGATATTCAAAGACGTATTTTGAGTACCTTCATCTAGGGAGGTTATGGAATCATTCCTGAATCGGCTGTACTTAGCCCTGTGCAGCATTCCTGGATGTCTGAATAACCCTACATACAGGACGTGTCCACCGAGGTTCTGCTGGCTGCGTTCTCTCATAGCCTTGGCAGGTCTATAACTGGATATTCTTGCATAAATTTGCTCTTGTAGATAAATTATATGGAAATCAAGCAAGTCAAAAATTTTCTAAACAGAAATCTATTGGGTATTTTTGCTGACTCCCTCTTGAATGGTTTATTTTCCTCAATGAACGAGGCTTAAAACTGCATGGACATCTGGCATTTTGTAAGCAGAAATAAAAGCAGCATACAGGAAAGCACATCAGTGGTAAAGCAGCTTAAGCTGAAGAGCCACTATCCAAACCTGTCTTCATTCCTGCCTCAAGCCAGGCACTAAATCCCACCTAGCTCTGAAGACTCACAGCTGTAGCATCAATAATTGCGGAGTCCTGTCTGCAGCGAAAGCTCAAGCATATTCCACACAAAGCAGAGCAAGACAGCTACAAGCCCAAACGTATTTTCAGACCGGCATGAACCCCGTAAGGTGCCCGGCTCTCTGCACTTCCACCGCCGCTGCCCCCGAGGCGAAGAGCATCCCTGCGCTGCAGCTTCTGCCCCGCCGTCAGGCAAAAGCCCAGGATTCTTCGAAAAACACTGAGCGGCGTCGGTCTTGCTAATTCCTGCTGGAAAGTCCTTCAGCACCATAATAATCCCGAAACAACCGAATATTCCTGCGGCTCCGGGGCCGTTTCCCGCAGCGCCGCGGGGCAGCAGCTCCGCAGCGCCCGGGCCGCCCCCGCCGCCGCCGCCGCCGGTTTTATGAATGAAGTTTTTTTTTGTGAATGGGCTCGGCGCGTGCGGGCGGGCAGCGCCGTGAATGGCGCTCGGCGCGCGGCCGCGGCCCGGCGGCCCCCGGGGGGCGCCTCGCAGCCAATCGCCGCCCGGAGCCGGCTCACGCGCCCTCAGCGCGCGGGGAAAGGGGGGGCGGGGGCAGAGGGGGCGCGAGGGACCCTCGAGGTAGTGCCCAAAATCCCCCCAAAATCCCCCCAAAATCCCCGTTCTGCCGCCATCCCTCCTCCGCGGCGGCACAGGCAGAGCCAAGAGGCTGGGCCCAGCCGAAGACGGGTCTGCGATGCCTGCCCGGCCGGCCCCAAGGAAAGGGGCAGGCTTGTCCCAGCGCTCCCTGCCCGGCTGCTCAGCTCCAGCCCCGGGGGAATCCCCCGCCTCAGCATCGCGGGTACCTCAGGCAGCGAAAGAAGCGAGACGGGTTTATTTTACTCACTGAAAATATCAGGGGCCCCAGTACCTCGGCTCCCCAGGGACCGATACCTGGGGCAGCGTGGCGGAGAGAGAAATTCAGCACCACGGGGGTCGGGCCAGGAGAGGAAAAGCGGCACGAAGGCCTCGCTTCCCTCCATTAGCTGAGGCGTTTTCACTCGCTAGGTTTTCGATGCGGAGTTCACCTTCCTCATGCTCACAGTCAGCTGCTGGTGGATGAGGGGAGGCCGTGCTGCCCATTGCCCTGCCTGTGACAGGCGGAGAAAATGACAGCTTCTCTCTATCACAAAGAGAGCACATCACATCCTTTCCTTGTTTTTACCTCGTGTATGAAAACTGGTATTAAGCCTACAGATGCAATAGTTGCTACAGTAAGGTGGGGAAACAAAGCCAGTCTTTTAGTGAAATATGGCTCAAAGAGGAAGTGGCTGCTTTGAAACAACCCATTTTGGTGAGGATGGCTCAGACTGCTCAAAAAATCAAGCCCAAAGGCAAAACCTGGACCAGTCGCAAGTTACAAAGAATGACTAATTTCTCATGAAGCTTTAATGATGGCTTTGAGCACAAAAGAATAGAACATTTCAGAAGTGATTAGCAGCACTATTGATTGCACATAAAGCACAGAAACTCTCTTAGCATGAACATTTTTCTTTCATTTCAACGCCATGCTGGAACATGACATCCACATGGCTGGAAGGAAAACTGGGATGGAGAGGCCATGGGGCCCACACTGGTGAAGAGGAGGGCCTGGAGGGGAGTGCAAACTGTTCTCCCCATGAAAAAGACAATGAGGACCAGCATTCAGGGAGATGCTGCTGCCCCAGGCTTCTGTACTGGGGAAACCTCCCAGATTTGTCTTTCTTTTACTGCCATGAAAAACATGCAAACAGACAAGCTGAATTTCCTCTTCATGCAAGATCAGCCTTACCAAGCTTCCTACCTTTTCTCTGAACACACAGCAAGGGTCTTCTTGCCTTACAGCAGCCCCTTGGCATAGATGACAGGAAAATATGACTTGGTGACCAGGACACTCCCCTGTGCCTTAGGTAAGATTAGTTCATGGCTGTGGGCTGCCTCTGGCCCAGGGTGGTTCTCATCTCCTGAGCCTGCCTGCCTGCTGATTCTTCCTCGGGAGGTAATTTGAGCCTTCTTTACCTGTGTGAGTGAGAAAATTGGGCAGTTGGGGTCCCTGCTGGGCCTGCAGGAGATGCAATCCCCTCCACGTCCCACTGCAGCTAACAAGAGCTGGCAGGTGAAAAGGGGCAAGCTTTTCACCTGTGTGGTGAAAGTGGACATTTTCAAGAAAAAGAAATAACAGTGCAACAGGCTGTCCTTCACTAATCACCCTTGAGCTGTGTCTTGAGCCCTGCATGGCACCAAGATCTGCTGCCCCATGGCCAAAGCGTTGTTGCCCTCTATAGGTGCCATGGGGGGGGCTCAGGGTGGCTCCTCAGAGAGGCGAGGGAGGCCGGTACTTTAATCAGCATTTCTCTGCTCATAGGCACCAGCAAGTGTGATCACAGTGTGGGAGGTGAAAAATAGCTGGTGTTTTACTGCAGGTTCTGAGAAAAATGCAATTGTGACAAGCTCTGTTTTCAGCAGTGATCAAGAAATACATGCTCAAGAGCTGAACCCCCTTGGACAATGCTGCAAAGAGCAGCATTGTCCAAGCCATACCAGCCATTGTGGGGAGGGAGAGGAGGGAAAATAAAAATGCCATCCCTTTATAAATTAAAATGCTTTTTTCTCAAGGCTAAAAACAAGATTTCTGTTTAAGATACTGGGAAATCAGCCTCAAACCAGCACAGAGAACAAAGCTCCTTTAAGCACTGGCGAAACTGAGCCTACAGCCTTGTCTAAAAGGAGCCTGTGTTTCTTGCTCACAGCTCGAGTTCCCTGTTGCTCAACTGTGCTGAGGGCTCCCCATTCTCCCAGCTCCCTGCTCACCCCTGCTGCTGCCCCAGCAGGATGCAGGGGAAAATCATTTTGCCCCTCACATGGCTGCTGACAAAGGGCTGTGCCACACGTGTTTTCTCAAGCTATGTGGGAATGCCCTTATGGTGCACAGTTATGAGCTGAAACCTCCCTCAATCACTGTTACCCATTACACCCCAATCCTCCATCACAGCCTGGTTACAGCCCCAAACAGTCTCTCAACCTCAAATATGCTGCATGAGAACCTGCTGTGGGCAGCCCCCAGTCAAGTATTGTCAGAGGGAACAGGAGCTTTGGGAGATGTAACCACAATGATGGGGCAGCTCCAGTACTCAGGAGCAGCTTACAGCTACAACCACTTCTGAGCTCTGAAAGAGCTGCAGAGAAGGAGGTAAGACAGCAGCAGCCATGTCTCCAGCACCACCAGAGGCAGCCGATCTGGCAGGAAGCCTCAGGGAGGCTTCCCACTTCCCACACCCGTGGGAGTGGCCCCATTTCAGATTTGGGGCTGGGGGATCACAGAGCAGGCATTTACTGCCAGCACCCCACCCTCTCCCTTGCAGTGCAGGGGCCAGGACAGGTGCGCACAGCACTCGCTGGGGGCAGGAGAGTTCACAGCGAGTTGGGGACCAATTGAGAGGAGAGGAGGCAGCTCAGCAGTCTCACACCGGGAGTGTGGGGGCAGCACGGGAGAAAAGCCGTCACCCACCTGCAGAGCACACCCGAAAAGCAGCTGCATCTTGCAGGAGCCCCGAGGAAGCCATTATGTGCTGCTTGCAACCGGTACAACAGAGCTTGGCCTTTCTGTTAGAATATGGAGTAAACAAGGGACTTTTTCCCCTTTATAAATAGCAACAGCAGACTTAACTCGTGCTGAGGTGCACCAAGCTGATCTGCCTTACTTCCTCATTAACATGCCTGGCTGGTCCTGGCAGAAATTAGCAAAATTGTTACAGAATGGCAGGAAAATCCTGTGGCAGGTATCAGTGCAGTGGCAGCTACCTTTGGAAAGCCTGAAGCAGCTTATTTCCACTAGAGAAGGTCATACACAGAAACTGTTTTATTTCAATTGAGAGAAATTTGTTTTCCCACATGTTGAATCATTCTCACTGTTTTATCTCCTATCCATTGCTCTGAATGAGATAAAACCAGAGCATTTGACAACTGCAGCCCCTCCTGCTTTCCAGGAGAGTCAGAGGGGGTTTGTTTGGGCTTAAACACAAGGATCAGAGCTACTGGGTTTAAGGAGGACAAAGGCAGGGTCCTGGATACAAAAATCAGACTGAAAACTAAACTATCAGACAAAAATTTAGACTATTAGTGCTTTTCTCCTATTCTAGCTAATCCCAAGGTAACACTTGCCGCGGGTGTGCAGTGTGCTGCAGCCTCCCGAATCTCCTGGGAAAGCCAAGGACAAACACAGCTCCCCACAGGTAACTGTGGGACGTGCCCTTTATTTCATGCCCATTTCCCTTCGCAGGAGAACAAGTCTGCTATCAGTGTTACATGATGATTAAATTCCTCATTACTCACTAAGGCTTATCCCTGGAAAACACCACAGGAGAGTGCGGGGCGTTCTCACGGTGCCCAGACAGACCCCCACACATCTGCCTCGTGTGGGAGCTCCCGTGGAAAACTCCTTTAACAGCTCACAGCACACTGGGGCTGCAGCTGGGGCCAGGCAGCACCTTCCAGCTTAGCTGCCCCAGCATCTGCTAACTCATGAAAGACCCCCTGAGGTAAAGAGCCTGCAGCTGCACGGGTGGGCTGGTTTTGCCTAGTAGCACTTTTAAAAAAACCCCACATCGATAAACAAACACACAAAACTAGTAAAGCACTGTGCTTATTCACAATGATCCTAAAAATCTAGAAGCAAGTCTCCAAGGA